CAGGCAGGGGAAACCCATGCTGCCTGCACCCAGCTCCCCAGGCACAGGCTTCAGCCAGGACCCTGCCTTGGGACAGTGAGGGTCTGCTGAACAGCGACCCGACCTCTTCCACCCTCTGCCAGGAGCCCCCTGGCACATCCCTGTGACCCCCCAGGCAGGAACCAGGGGAAGGGCTCAGCTCTGTGACAAACAAAGGGCTCAGCCCTGCTACCCCCCAGGCACCACTCAACCCCCTCCCCGCCCCTGTGCTAGACTTGCCCCCCAGACAGGGGTACCCACTCCAGGGAGGAAGGAGGGGAGAGAAGTCTCCCTCATTACCCAAACTCCAGTTGCTAATTGCTCCCGGAGCGCTGGGCATAAATAACAGATTCCCACACAACCTGCAACATATTGGCATCAGATTGAAGGGAAGGCACCAGCACTGGTCACAGGTCAGGATTAGGGACCAAGGGATCCGCTTTCCTAAATTGCACACTTCAGCGTGACACGGCTGCTTGACAGCTGTCCCACAGCCGCTTTATGTGAAAAGCCGCAGCTTCACTGGAGAGAGCTTCAGTGCCCAGCCAGGGTGCTGAGCCCAGGGCCTCCCCCTCCCCACTGCACCATTAAGACAGTTCAGACGGCAAGACACTGACTGCACCAGCGATCCCTGGCACCAGGGGAAGCCTGGCTTGAACAAACAGTGGTTTGGGGCCAGCACGCCTCGCACCCCGGCAGAACGCTCAGGCTCCTCCACAGGAGCACCCTTGGAGCAGCAGCAGCAGCAGTCACAGAGCTGGCCCTTGAGCCAGGTTTGCCAAATTCACTTTCCAGAGGGAGCAGCTGAGGACAGTCGGAAGGACTGACCTTTCATGGGGTGTTCATTCTGTAATGGACTTCTCCCTCCTTGCTTCCTTGTGTGGAAGAGCTGTTTGACCCAGAGAGCTAGCGAGACCAGCATCTTCCCACTGAAAAGAATCCAGGTTTCCCTAAGTCAGTGTTTTCCTGTTAGAGACATCTTCAGAGAAGTTCCCTCCATGGTCAGATGAGATGGTCTCATTCCAGGCACAGGCAGGAGCTGGCTCTGTGGTGCAGGAGCACACATGGCCAAGTCACCACCTGGACACAGACTCTGCCCCATCCTGCATCCCTCTGCTCCCACAGGGGCTCCGTGAGGACACAGCAGGTTGGCAGAACATCCCCATCCCCGAGCCAGCCTACCCCTCCGCAGAAGTCACCCTGCCCCAGCCCAGCCACACTAGGCCCCACGGGGCAAAGCCAAGGGAAAGGATAGGACAGAGGAGCCACAGGCAGGATCCATCCTCCCACCAGGCAGCTGCCACGGTTTCCATGGTGACCCAGCCCATCACATGCACCCACCCCGCAATTGATATTTGCTTTGCCTGCAGCCAGAGCTGGGAGGCCATAATTACTGCACCAGGCAGCTAATTAGCAATTCATTACTTGTCCAAGAGGGACAGGGATGGGCACCAGGATCCCGCCTCATCGGGTAGAGGACAGTGCTGCCTGTCTCGCGCCTTTCACAGGGCACCATCACCTGGTTTTCCTGCCACAGTGTCTGGTCTTCACCGAAAGGAGAAATAAACACAGAAGTCTCTGCTGGCAGCTTTACCACATTTCCATGGATCTCCTGGAGCCCCAAGAGCTGCCTGGCCCAGGACAGCAGCAGGCTCCGGATCAAGCCCAGGGTAGGGCAGGGGATGCCATGAACCTGGCACTGCTCTGCCACTCTGGAAGATCAGGTTCCAACAACCATCCCAGCACTAACAACCACCAACCATATCTAGAAAACCAAACAGGAACAGTAGCTGCTGGTTTGAGTGCCCAAGCCTTCCACATTCAGGAAGAGGCTACGCACCTTG